CACCTACAGGTATACTACTACGAACGAACAAGAGTTCTAGAGGAAAGCTGCAGACAAGCTGGGGCAGAGCAGTTCTGATGCACCTTCACTGGCGGCAAGAAGGAACTGAGGGCGAGGTGAGCGCGTAGCGCTCCTTATACCGAGCACCCAACGGTACGAAGTCAGCCATGACCACTCCGGGAGAAAAGCACACAACTGGTTGGAGAAGGGAAGCTTTATTGTGGGTGGATCCTGGTGTGAACTGGTCGGTCTCCTCCGGGTGTCCCGTCAAAACTGACGCTTCCCCGCCTGTTTACCCTTGGAGGACCCGGGGGGGGGGGGGCAGACCGGGACTGCCTCTGTGGGCATTTCTTATAGTCCCATGACTTTTTATAAAGGGGCTCGTATTTAGGTTGGGTGGCCTGGGTGGGAGCCTGCTGAGGCTTAAACTTGGGCCTAGCCGGAGCTGGGACATAGAGACCAAAGTGTCTTGAGCGTAGTGTGGGAATCTTTCAGGCCATGCAACTTCACGTCCATCTGTTCTGCAAACAGGGCCTTGCCATCGAACGGGAGGTCCTGCAAGGAGTTCTGCACCTCACTGGACAGCCCAGACAGCAGGAGCCACGATACCTGGACACTGGACCATGGACACTGCGGAGGCCATGGACCTTGCAACTGTATCCACAGCATCTGACGCTGTCTGCAGGGTTCCCCTGGCAGCCGCTGTACCCTCCTCCATCAGAGCTTTGAACTCCTTCCTGTAATGCTCCTGGAGGGAGTCCTCGAATTTGGGTGGAGAGCCCCACAAATTGAACTCATACCGACTCAGGAGAGCCTGATGGTTCACCACCCTTAACTGGAAACTCGAGGATGAATAAACCTCTCCCCCCAAATAAGTCCAGCCTCCTTGAATGTTTATTTTTCAGAGTAAGGGCTGGTTGGCCCTGCCTCTCCCTGTGGTTGACCGACTCGACCACCAGGGAGTTGGAGGCAGGGTGGGTGTACAGGTATTCATGCCCCTGGGCGGGCACAAAGTACTTCCGTTCTGTCCACTTAGAGATGGGAGGCAAGAAAGCTGGGGTTTGCCACCCCTTCGTGGAGTGGAAGGGCCACCCTGCCCGGTATCGAGGCCGATAGGACATTGAAGAGGGAGTCTGAGGGTTCCTCCACCTCTTCAGCCTGAAGGTTGAGGCTTGATGCCACCCCTTTTCAATAGTTCCTAGTGGGCCTTAGAGTCCTCCTGCAGAACAGAGGGAGGAGGGGCCGTAATCGCCTCATCAGGGGAGGATGAGGATGCAGGTGCGGTACTCTTCGTACCCACTGGTACCGGAGGTCCTACCACTTGGTCGCCCTCTGGGCACGGAACCGAAGATGCATGTCCCACCGACTCCTTTCTGGGAGGCTGGGAAAGGGAGGCTGATGGTCATTCTGAGGCTCCGGCCACTGAGCGAGCCCCTACCGGGAGCTGCGTTGGGGGCCACAGGGCCCATTGGTACTATGGTGCCGGCCAAGGAGCTCAGTGCAGTGGCACCAGCGGAGCAGGCTGTTCAGTCTGCCTAGCCTGTCCCATCAACTGATAACTACGAAGGGAGGCCGCTGTCCCTGGACTGGGAGAAGCGGTGGTGTCGGGAACGGTGCCGACCATGAGACCGTAATCCCGATGTAGAGGAATGGTACCGCCAGTAGCAGCTGCTTCGCGATTGGCTCTGAAGGGCGGACCCGTGCTGGTGAGGCGCCGGAGATCGACACTTGGGACTGCGGGAGCGGTGCCGCGGTGGTGTCCTGGAGCGAGATGAAGAATGGAAATGGCGTCGACACCTGAATTGCGACGGGCTACGGTAGCCTCTTGGAGATGAGGACCTCAAGTGCAGTCTGTCTTGGTCTTGACAGGGCCTGCTCCTTTCGCAAGGTCTACGGTCCCTCAAGGTGGAGCGGTGCCTGGAACCCCTGTCAGTCGGAACCCAGTCAGACAACCTGGTGGGTGTCGACGGTGACCGGCGTGGACTATGCACGGGACGGGCGCTGAGCAGTGAACGGTGTTAGGAACATTCCCTCGACTGTGAATGGTACTGACCAGGAGGCGACTGCGGCGATCCAAGCGGTGGCTTGCCTCTGGACCGGGGAGCCAACAGTGGCGGAGTCGGAGGCCTGGAGGCCAACAGGGTCCAAGAACTGCCCAACATGGGTCTACTCTCTCCCCCAGTCTTGCTCCGGTGCCTCGGCAGAGAAGACCTCTTCTTAGCCTTCTTGGCGTGCCCTGCAGGCGGGGAGAGGTGCTGACTCGTGGAAGTCACTGAAGTGTCGCCACGCACCGACGCTGCGGTACCCAGTGCCAACTCGGAGCAGCGCACCGGAGTCAGGGTCAACACAGACTCCATCAGAATGGCTCGGAGCCGAATGTCACTTTCTTTCTTGGTCCGAGGCTTGAAAGATCTGCAAATCTTGCCGCGATCACTGAGATGGGTTTCCCCCGGACAGCGTAAACAGTCCACTTGCGGGTCACTCACTGGCATCGGCCGCCTGCAAGTGTCGCACGACTTAAAGCCTGGGGCACACTAAACTAAACTAACACTAATCTGAACTACTTCACCTACAGGTATTACTACTACGAACGAACAAGAGTTCTAGAGGAAAGCTGCAGACAAGCTGGGGCAGAGCAGTTCTGATGCACCTTCACTGGCGGCAAGAAGGAACTGAGGGCGAGGTGAGCGCGTAGCGCTCCTTATACCGCGCCATAGAGGCGCCACTCCAGGGGTTGCTAGGGGCGCTATCCTACGGGTACTGCTGGGGGAAAACTTCCGGCACTGGTGCATGTGGTGAGCACGCACACCTATTGTGGCATACACATGAGCAATCACTCGAAGAACTACTTTAGGTGCAAGGCTGTTTATACAAGAGTCCCCACTGGGGAGAAGCCAACGCTGGATAAACAAACACTAAACTGCAGCATGGCAATCACCAGCACAGCACTGGGCAGGTCAGAGAACAGGCTTAGATGGAGACTGCGCTCAAGTGACTGGAAGGGGCAAAAACGAAAGTCCCTGACTGCAAGATGGAAAGGGGATGTGATCTGGGAGGCCATGCAGCCTTCTTTCTGAAGGGGCGCATGTAGTACTGTTTAAGAAGTGAAGTTCAGAGGCACTTAGGGATATTTGCCATGCAAGCTCATTACTGATTACAATGCAGGTGCAATCATTCTGCCTGGCAGCGCCATATAAAATCGTGATCACTGAATTGCCATTAGATTGGAGCTGGCGAAGATGCGGCGAAGATGCATGAGCAGAAGGATCTCTGTGTAGGAGCTGGAGCCAGCGCAGAGAAGTATGGCAAAAACTTGGAAGCTGAACAATCGGAGCCATAGCAGCACTGCTATCAAGTACTATGTGCCGCATAAATGAGAAATTCAGGGATTGTGCCACCATCCCAGGAGTATGTCAATGGTTTGTTCCATCAACTGCCATTCAATAATCACCACCTAGGTGCACTGAACTGCTCTGAAAGCTGTTCGTATAGCAATGCATATGTCCACAGTATCAGTGGAAGAATTTCCGAGTGGCAGCCTCCAATCTAAGTTGCCTTGATTCTGTCAGTCAAAGCCCAGTGTAGTAACAAACAGGCAGTCACAGCAGCTAAACCATTTTACTTTTCTCCAGTACCCTGCAGGGGGAGCTCTATATATACATATCAAAGAGATGGAACAAACAAGTCTACTGCCAAGTTTTCAGCACCTACTTTTTCAGTGAGACGCAGTAGACTGCAAGCTGTTCCACTGCTGCCTGCCCTATTCCCATATCACGGATCATCTCCTCCACTTCCGGGCGCTGGCTCTGCAGGAGCATCTCAATCCTGAAACAGACACATCCTGTCAGGTTCCCACACAGCCATGAAGAGTGGAGCTGGGAAAGGAGCTGGAGTGCTGGGTCATTACCTGGGCCACTAGTGTGCTGATCCCCCACTGCAGTGACACACTGGGATGGAAGCTACAGCTGCCCACTAGCTGCCCCTCAGTGAGCTGGGCTATTTGGGAGGAACAGTGGGGCAGCAATGGCTTAGCAAAGGGCTGGGGGGGGAGGCAGTTGTGCTATAGTGGATTGAGCACCAGGCTGGGAGTCAGAACTCCTGTGCTCTATTCCTTGTTATTGTCCCTGGGCAATTCACATCAATATCTACATGCCTTGGTTACCCCACCTGTAAGCCAAGCTCCCAGTGCTAGGGATGAAAAGCTCTAGCTAAGTGCCAAATGTTATTGTTTAGGGAGCAAATAACTGCCTGGAGGTGCCGGGGAGGGAAGAGGTGGTGATGAGTTTGGACAGGTCAGGACCAATGAGGACACACCAGCACTGATGCAGGAGGTTCCCAAACCCCAGCTCAACAGTGCAACAGCAGTGACATTTCCATCTGCACCAGGAACTGAGGCTGAACCCAAGTAGCTCTGCATTGGTAGCATTCAGAACTATTGCGCAAGACCTCTAAGAAAGTAAGTGTCTCGGACCACTGAACAGCATGCTTGCCCTAGCCCACATATACATACACAGCAGAGGCCCTGTATCTAACCTCTCCATGGTTTTCAGTTTATTTCTCAGCCTTCGGGCCTCCTCTTTTGCACCTTTGGTTTCTTCCTGCTGCTGCTCCAGGTACGTCATTTGTTTCTGAGACACAGATAGGCACATTTGTGCAGTTAGAATGGGAGATAGGGACTCCTATGGAGACATATAGCTAGCACGTATGCATTGAAATACCTGCACAACCTGCTCAGCAGTCAGGCTCCTCAAAGCTCTCACCATCTTTAACAGCCCAGGAGCAAGGTGCCCATAGGTTCCCACTCAGCTCCCAACACATGGCAAATTCTCAATGCTGGCCATCAGATACTTCAGTCCATGAACTGCCCGATTCCATTGCTCCCACTAGGATTATTTGTGGAGAGTCATATGTGACCCTCTCCTTCCGTGTTCAGAAAGCGACAAAGCTCCATAGGGAAGTCTCCAGTTACTGCAGCCTTCTCCCCATTCAGACACTCCCTGTTCCCGCTGCACTAACCCTCCCATTTTGCTGAACTGCCATCTGTTACCAGATGTGAGAAGTAATCCTGCATGGGGCTTTGCTGGGAGTTCTCAGACACTTTACCAAGACAAACCCAACATGGTCCATCTCCATCAGATTACACTGGAGGGGCATCTGGAGCTGTCTGAAGGTGCTGCCTGGTTTTCTGGTATTCTCAAAATGACTGGCAGTAGGACATGGCCTGTGCAGGATCAACTGAATATTACTGTGTATAAGGGGCTCCCATGGGGATCAGATGGCTTTTTAAACAAACTTTCAGTTCACCTGTATTCATTCCCTAAGCTTTGATCTGCCTGGACAGTTTAACGTATCAGCTTCAAAGGTTCCTGACTGCTTTTCAATGAGACACTGTTTGATTTGACTCCAGAGAGAAGATTGGCCAAAGACAGTGTCCTCTCTGCTCGACGGAAGCTGGAGGGGTTTAATATGCATTCAGTCTCAGACTCTCCCACTGGCTCACCACGTTACTACATAAAAAAGGAGGCCTGAGATGCCACTGTCCCTCTGCAAGGTCTCACCTTGCCTGGCTAGGATGGTTACCTTTCTCATACCAGTGCCACCTTTTGCCGCTCCTGGCCAGCTCTCTCCACCACATTTGCACTACTGTTTCCACTTCCCTCGCACTGCTCTAAACTGGCATGATACACGGTTCTCAGACTCCCTGGCCAGAACTGTCAACGCGACCATATTTGCCCCTCTGGCATTCAACTGTGGTCCCGAGGCACCAAGCAGGTTCATCAGTAACTGATGCAGTGCTAGTGGAAGAAAGGTCCGGCTTGAAGCTGGTGAATTTGGCCTCTGCCATGGCTAGAAAGGCCTGCAACAGCATAGCAGAGGCTCCAAGCCTTATGCTTTAAACAGCCTGAGGAGAAACAGTGCACAGAACTCTGCTGGGAGATCTCACACACTTTCAAGAGGAGAAGATGCAATGAGCATGATGCCTTTTCTTCCAATGTTCCCAGATTACACTGGAGGGGCTTTCACACATGTCAGAGAGTAATTACAGTCAGAGGAAAGATAGGTTATGAGTCTCCCCTTGAATCTGGGGTAGGGAAAGCCCAGGAGACGGGGGAGGAGGGTGGAAACCTAGCAGCAAACCCAATCACCTAAAGCAAAATCATCTTGGGAAGGGCTCATTTGTATCAGCTGCAACAGCACACCCCGATTTAGAGTTTTACAGCAACTGAAGTGTTTGCATGACCAGGAAATGCTAATAAGCCTCACTGAGAAATTCTGTTCATTGGAACACCCCAGCAACCTATAAAACTACTGAAAAACATGAAAGCCAGGGAAAAAGGGATAAGGTATCCTTGGGGTGAAGAGTGATTTTCACAGTTTCACCTTTTTTCTTCTATTTAACCTAGGTGCATTAAGAATGCAGCTCCGCACTCACAATTGGTGAAGCACATCTTACTCAGTGGCAGACAAAGTGCACCCCCAATACGTGGAATTTATGGCACTATCATCTCAATTAAACAGCAGCTAAGACCAATCACTATGATTAAGTTAGATCAGTTTCCCTGGGGGGCATCACAGGGAAGTGGCCATCCCATCCCTGTCCTGGTTTATTCACTCATGAGTTATGATTATATACATAAAGACACCACATACATATACACACACACACAGATTATTTCCTGTTAGTGGCTTGACTACAGAACAGGTTTGACAGCAGCACAATGGTTGGTCCAACCCAGCCTAAGCTTGTAACTTTCTCTCTGTACATTTCAATTAACTTGCCTGGGTGGAGGCAGAAATCACTAATTAACATTAACTAATTCACACTGAACCCCACCAGGCCTACAGAAAGATTTAATGCAGGGTAATAGTGTTAGTCCTCAACAGGGTCTCGCTCCCTAAGAGAGCATTCACACTGATGCGATGGAAGATCAATACTGACACTGCATCAACAAGCCAGACCCTCATTCCCTGGCCTTGAGCGGAATGCTGTTTTTAAGCAGGATTCTAACAAGCCACCCCAGCCACAAATCGCTTAGGCTAAGCACAGAGAAGACCCAATGTCTTAACACGTCAAGTACTCCAACTGCTTTAGATTCATTCAATAAGTGTATTGTTTCCCCAATATCTCACCTCTTCCAAGGTGCACGGGTCCAAGGGAGGTACCTCAGGAAATTACTGTCCCAGGGTGATGTGTGTTAGAACTGAAAGACATCGCCTTGAAATAGCACTGCTGCCCTAGAGAACCTTACCCCTTTGCCCCCTTGGCTCTTCTATAGCACCACCTCGTCAAGGAGCTCAGACAAGGTTAAAGGAGTGTCTTAAATGGGAACGCAGCCCCATTGCTCTTCTTCCACTTCACATCTGGAGAGATGGGGCCCACACAGGAAGCTGGTTTCAGAGCCAGGAACAGAACTTAGACCTCCAAGCGCAGAGCCACCTGTCCTCTCTGCACAGGCCTGAGGACAGTGTGACCCAGAGGACGAGCCAGTGAGACTGTAACCCTAGCCAGAAATGGGGCAGATCAGATGTACACTGCCCATGGAGGAAGGTACCTTGAGAGTGGAACACAGCATCTCTGTCTCACACAGGGCTTTCTGGAGCGACTCGATGGTGGCGTTGTGAACATCCACAGTCTCCCTCAGTGTGTCTATGATAGACTGGCAGTCTCGCTTCTCCTTCTCTGAAAGGAAATGCTCACATAGCACTTGGAATGCCTTGCCCTGGGCAGCCCTGAGACCCATGGGTCTGAGGGCAGATATGCAGCCAGAGTGACAGACAGGATACATAAATTCAGATTGAGAAACTCTCAGAGACTTAGTCATTTCCCATCAGACCTCCTCCCCACTGAATGCAATGTGTCAGACAGGACCTGTGCTAAGCAATCCCTGCACCCAGCACCAGTAGACTTCAAACATTTCTTTACCAATCAAGAAATGGCCCGGTCCTAGCTTGCCCAGTCAATGTGGACTGAGATAACTATCATGCGCTATCCCCCACCTGCTCCCAAAGGCAAGCTTGGGTGCAAGGAGCTGGCATCCTTGCAGGCCGAACAAAACATTTATAAAACTACAAAGCTCTGGTGAGCTGCCTCGACGCTGCTCTCCCAGCGAGAAGTCGTGTGTGCAGGGTACATGCTTAGATAGGCTTGACAGCTGCTGCTGTGCACAGGAACACAGTGCCTACGTGCAGAGCAATTACACTGCTGTGCAGTTATGCTGCTATCACTCACCCTCACCACAGTCTGTGTGTCTCAGGGTGCGAGATCCCAAACACACAAGCGAAGCAGCATTAAAGCACAGCTCTGCAGAACACACTGGGGCTCTGAAAGGCCACGTGATACTTGATTAAGGCAGATTTATCACTCTGGAACATTTCCAGTCCTTGCACATCACAAGGCCTTAAAATCCTGTTGTTCTGATCGCCCCTCCCCCACACTAATATCCCCAATTCTGATGCCTTGGCTGCCAGCAACAAAGCCTTTTGGGCTGGAAGGTATATTAAAGCCTGTGTAGCAGCGCCCTTTCCTGACCCCTCCACAAACGCAGTCAGAGACCAACTGAAGTGCAGCACCCGTGTCCTTTTATTGTTTGTGTCCGTTCCCACCACGATTTATTTACAGATATTTACAGGGACCAACACTCTGGGAGACTACTAGCTTCCCAGCCAGCAGAGATCTAGAGCCCATGCTCCTCCCTTTCCTGTCTCCCCCCTGCTTCCTGTCTCTTAGCCAGCTTTATAGGGCAGGCTGGCTACCCAGACCTGCAGGTGGATCCACTCTGGTAATTAGGGCGTGGCCCTTCAGCCAGCCCAACTAATACCCTTCTTCCTCTGGAACAGGGCTAACAGGGGCCTGGTTTATTTCTCCTAGCCAGCACCCTGTTACAGCCTGCCTTCAGCCACATGAGATACAGAGGTGCACAGATCCTGCTGGAACTGAAATGTGTTCTGGAGGGAAGCAGGAAAGCCAGCTGGTGGTCAGACTGACCAGTATCCTGAGCTGAGAGAGCCAGCAGAGAACATTTTACATCACTGGAAAGCTCCTGTTTTGCAGCTGTATAAGGCAGTGGTCCCCACCTCTCGCAGTGCGACTATGGTCCGTCATGGACAGCAAAGCAGCACTATTTTTGAGCACTGTGTAAATCCACTCATCCTCCCGGTTTCCATCAGCTCTCTGGTAGTAGCTGACCATTACTGGAGAGGGGCTCAAGGGCTTGCTCACCTTGGCAGCCCTGCAGCTTCAATCCCTGCCAAGGCCTGAGGCATTGCTGGCTTTGTGACATTGCCGCCATCCCAAAAAAACAACTGAGCTGGCAAACAGGATTATGGCCTCCCTGGGAAAGGAGGCAGAAGATGCCCAGCTGGGACCAGGGGAAAGAGAGGGAGAAACTGGTGTGCGTGTGCGCACCCTCACACAAACAAAGCAGTGATAGCCACAAGATGGCCATAGGAAGTGGCTGGGTAAGTAGGTTGGTTTGTAAGTAAAGTGTTTTCCCACACTTGTTTGGGTGGTTGTACCTATCCAGGAGCAGCATACTTTGGGGGGGTGAGAGGGATGCATCCCACTGCACACACTTTCAGGCAGGACTTCCCCTGGTGCGGTGGCAGGAGGCTAGCTCTGCAGGACTGAAGCTTTCAGGACCAACAAATGTTTCATTTCTGGTATTTGTGATGTGAAGAAAATGTTCCAATGTGACCAGGGTGCAGCAATGCCTCCTGGGCTCTGCAGACAGATCCAGCACCTCAGCTACTGGTCTCAGGTCTGTACAAGACTCTTCTCAGGTACACATCTGCTTTTTAGAACCCCCTGTGGCAGCTGTGAAACTGACAAGGCTACTTTCATTCTGCTGCTGGGGAAAGCTACAAGCGGAGGCAGATTCTTGAAAAAGGAGGAATCGAAGCTGGAGGCACTGCAGGCAGAGTCCCTGAGGCTAGCAGGGCAGGAGGAATAGACACGCAGTCAAGACACAGGACAGAAGAAAGCTTCTCCTTCCCAGCCGAGAGACCTTAAAGTCCAGGACCTCCTAGCTAACATAAAAAAGCAAATCTGCAAAGCAATTCCTTTGGAGAGCATTCTGGTAGGAGTCCCAGCACTCTTCCCCAGAAGGCGGGGCTCAGTTACTCACTATGTCACTGCCCCGGACTGCTTGCAAGGAGGGGCCTTGATATAGGCATCTGATAGATTTTCTAACTTTTATCAGGCTAATAAATAGATCTAGTCAACTATTTCTGTCTGCCTTGCACATGTGAGAGGGCAGAGGACTCAATAGGAAAGCGGGCTCTTTGGAAATGGCTGAAACTCTCTCCACTCCAAGCTCCCTTTAAAGGTTTTTTTGCTTATTGCAAACTCATGTCTCAGGATTTCTGTCACTCAGACTGACTGACATTTTCCTTTGGCTGCTCATGACTCATGTTCTGATGACAGGCTGCCTACAGACAATGCTTAAAACACATTGACAACATCCCCAGGGTTTTCGCTTTCCTGCCTCCATCAAACAGGCTCTAAAATTAAAGAGCCCGAGCTCTTTAAAGCAATGGGAAAATAGAAACGCACACATCAAATTGTGCCTGCTTTTTTGGGGATGCAGCATCGCAGTAGCTGAATAAGTGCCAAATTTCTCCCATTTCCGTTTGGGCCCCAATTATTAAGCCCTCTTGTGCCACTTTACGCTTGAAGAAATGAGCTAGTGACATTTGGCAGCTGTGGGTCTCCTGATAAACACACCTAACTCAATGAAACAATCTTTGCTTGCTGCTGATTCCCACCTGGAATAAGCGCTACACTGAGCCGTCAGTAGTATGTCAGCTGGGACAATCTTGCAAGGGACATAATTACAGTAAGGGGGGGAGGGATAGCTCAATGGTTTGAGCACTGGCCTGCTAAACCCAGGGTTGTGAGTTCAATCCTTGAGGAGGCCATTTAGGGATCTAGGGCAAAAATCTGTCTGGGGATTGGTCCTGCTTTGTGCAGGGGGTTGGACTAGATGACCTCCTGAGGTCCCTTCCAACCCTGATAGTCTATGATTCTGTGTCACATAATAGCCCGAGCATTGAACAAAGTCTACAGGTCTCTTTACTCTACTTACTGGCCCAGCAAGCTTAAGACTCATGATCCCCAGTTTGCTCTGTCCGACCGGTTTCATTCAGACCCCACTTGTACTGTAGGCTCAGAGAGCACCCTCATATACAAATGCCTCAACTTTTCTGCTGCAAACTGACCTGAAAGCCTCAGCACAAAACAAAACAGTAGCTTGAGAAAGCCCAGAGCCTGCCAATCCCATGTTCCTTCTCTCTGCGCCCTTACTGCTGGCCAGAACACTCTTCTGTTTCCTTTCTGAACTCACCTTTCATGGAGAGCTGTGCTTTCACCTTGTCCAGTTCATTCTGAAATGCAACACAAAGAACCAGATGAGGAGCAGCACCACCCAGTAACCTTCACCTAATCTTAGAGGAGAGTTCTAGGATTCCTAAATGCTTTCTCCTAGTGAGTTACATGACCAGGTGCTGAGAGCAGAACAAAATAGTGAGGAATGCCCTTGTTATATGCAACATTCCCAAGTGCTACTGCAGGACACACGGGGAGCACCTCAAACTGGTAGTGCTTCAGGGGAAGAACAAGACTGCCACAGAGAACATCCCAGTCTTATCTTATCCTTGTCACTCTCTCGTTTCTCACAGTGTCAGTCATTTTTACTGGGTTGAACAACTCTGGAAAGCCTCTCAGGGAAAACATTTGAAGTCAGAGAAAAAAATTTCATAACATCTTAACTAAACAAGGCAATAAGGCAAGGATCTTGACAGACAGAACTAGATTGCTGATTATTTTTAACTAGAATTATGAGTTCAGTGGTTGAAGGGAATGCAATAGATGTAATGAAATTGGGCCCTAGACACAGAACAATGGGTAGATTTGAACATGCCCAGCTAGACAGAAAATGAAGTGGGTGAGCAAGTGTCTAACAAAACCATATTCAGTGTTCATTCATATCAGCTTGGATATGGATGCTTATGTGAACTGACAATTGGCTTGCAGCACCCTAAATAAAGGGCAACCATAAACTGATCAGTATCAAGTCAGGGGAGGTGGTGTTTGGCAAGTACCATAGGGATCCGGGGAAGATCACATCTTATTAAATACCTTCATTAGCAATCTGGAGAAGGGATAAAATAGCATGTTAATTTAATTAACAAATACTAAATTGGTAGATGCTGTAAACCCAGTGAGGATACAATGGGGACCTACAAGGGGTTGGAAAAGTGGGCAGAGAATAATTAAGTGAAGCCAATACATCTGGGGAAAAATCTGAAACATACTTAATGGGAGAAAGAAACCTGAAAAACAGTAATGTTGAGAGACCTGCAGGGGACAGTAGACAGCAAGCTGGACAGGAGTTGCAATATAACTAGACAGAAAGAAATGCCAACACAATGTAGAAGGTGCATATGCAGAGGCATCCTGTCAGAGGTAATAGTCTCTCTCTCTACATGATACCTGGAATATTGTGTTCAATTCTCTCATCTGTTTGCCAGAAAGATATTGACAAATGGAGGAATTCAGAGAACAGCAACAAAAATAATCAGGGAGCTGGAGGGACGAGACTGACATTTGGCTAAGTGACAGCTAAGGGACAGGGAAGCAGAAGCCACAGGATTTACAGTTTATACCTATTTGAAAGGCATAAATACCCTGGATGGAAAGAGGCTAGTTACTGTGAGGCACATGGCTATAATTAAGGGCTTGTCTGCACAGGGAAATTGACCAGAATTAACTATTGCAGAATAGCTCCCCATGTGGGCCTTATTTTGGAATAATTAGTGTGCTCAAATAGTGCACTAATTATTCCAGAATAAAGTGACTTATTCTAAAATAGAATGTCCACTTGGGGAACTATTCTGGTCAAGTTCCCCATAAAGACAAGACCTAAGAATAATGGGATAAGACTAGGAAAATTTAGGCTAAACAACAGGATAAATGAGATATGTTGGGCTTTAGAATAGTCTCCAAAGGAAAAAGGAAACCCTGCCATCTTGGCTCCTCCTGCATTGACACAAAGATGAAACTGCGTAACCAAGAAGGCTTTTTCCAATCACCCAGTACCGACGGTTTACGATTCTGTACATGATAGTCATACACAGGGGTTCTCAGACTGGGGGTCGGGACCCCTGGGGGTCACAAGGTTATTACATGGGGGGTCGTGTGCTGTCAGCCTCCACCCCAAACCCCGATTTGCATCCAGCATTTATAATGGTGTTAAATATATATATAAAAAGTGTTTTTAATGTATAAGGGGGGGGGTTACACTCAGAGGCTTGCTATGTGAAAGGTGTCACCAGTACAAAAGTTTGAGAACTACTGGTCATACACATAAGCACTGCAAGCTAACCTTCTTCCAGAAGATCAACATTACACATTTAAACTATTTTGAAAACATCGCAGGGCAACAGGAAGCATTCAGTGTGATGGTATTGCTCAGCTTTCCCCTGTGCCCTGTTAATATAAACAGTAAACTGAGTTTAAACACTATGTGAACAAATTTAACTATTTGCATACAAAGACATGCAGTTCTCTCCTGGTACTAAAGGGCCCTGCTTCCTGCTAATTAGCAAAGATGCATGCTGGGGAGCCAATGACTTGCTCCTGTAGTTGCAAGATTCATTCTGTATGGGCATAGCACATTAATCTCAAGTATCTGTGTCTAGGGCAGAAAGAGTGCCCTCAAATCGATACCTAGAAGCACAGGAGCAAGACTTCACTGAAGAATCAAGCAGGAAGAGAAAACTAGGTGGAAAGAGAATGCGACCCCAGAAAGAGCTGCAAAAGTGTTTAAGAAACATGAGAGAGAAAAAACAGTCAGTGGCAAGAAAAATTGCTTTTCTAGAGAGATCTTTTTTCTAGCCAGCCCACAGCGAGAGTGCCACTCATCTATTTAGCATGCATTCAAACCAGTTCTTGCCAGCATAAAGGCAGAATTTATCTGCTCCAAGTCATAGTTTTAGGTAGCTATGGGTAATTAGACATGTTTTATAGGAGGTCTTCATCTTTTGTACACATGCATTATAGCCCACAATATATGTTAGCTGTTTCTGAAGATGACACTTACCTATGTTATGTCTTGCATTCCTCCCCCACCCCACACACGAAATACACAGCAGTTGCCATGACGATGTTAATTATGGTAATCGCTGCATATGCTGATTTTAAACACAAGAGGGTATAAGAATCCCATTATACCAAGGTCAAGGCGATTTTCTTCTTTTTAAACAGTTGACTCAGACATGCAGAAGTAGGACTTTGCCAATGCTAAACTACTGACTTGAAGACAGAGCACCATAATATCCTGATTTAACTCTTTGCATTCAGAGTTTTCCAAAGCTAAACACCATACACACTGCCATCATCAAGAGATTAGTTTACATACATCCCTAATCAAAGCAGTTTTCCTGCAGTTACCAGTGTGTCAGTTTTACTCTGATGCTCATTTTAAGAGAGAAAGCATAAAGCTACAGATTTCCCTATGCTGCTTTGTTTAAAGGCATTTCTGGTCAATTTCAATGAGTTAAAAGTAGGTTGGCATACCATACCTGCTCCCACGTCAAATGTGGGGTTCTGAGAAAAAAAATCAGATGAGGTAGTCATACCATTTGATAATGCTCTTTCCATTCCACTAGAATCTCAGGAGGATGTTAAATAGCTACTAAAGTTAGACATTTTTAAATCAGCAGGCACAGATAATTTGCATCCAAGAGTTTTGAAAGAGTTGGCTGAGGAGCTCACTGAACTGTTAATGTTGATTTTCAATAAGTCTTGGAACTCTACGGAAATTCCAGAAGACTGGAAGAAAGCTAATGTGCCAATTTTTTAAAAGGGTAAATGGGATGGCCTGGGTAATTATACACCTGTCAGTCTGACATTGTTCCTGGACAACATAACAGAGCAGCTGATAACGGGATTAGATTAATAAGGAATTAAAGGAGGGAAGTATAATTAAATGCCAATCAACCTCAGTTTATGGAAAACAGATCCTGTCAAACTAACTTGATTTTTTTTTGACAAGATTATAAATTTGGTTGATAAAGGTAACAGCATTGATGGAAACAACTTCTGTAAGGCATGACATTTTGATGAACTAGAACATAAAATTAAGATGGCACACATTAAATGGATTAAAAACTGGTTAATTGATAGGTCTCCAAATGTAACTGTAAACGGGGTATCATCATCTAACAGGTGTGTTTCCAGGAGAGTCCTGCAAGGACTGGATCTTGGCACTATGTTATTTAACATTTTTATTAACGACCTAGAAGAAAACATAAAATCGTCACTGAAAATGGTTACAGATGACACAAAAATTGGGGGAGTGGTAAATAGTGATGAGGACAGATCACTGACACAGAGTGATCTGGATTGCTTGGTAAACAGTGTGCATTTTAATGTGGCTAAATGTAAATGTATACATCTAGGAACAAAGAATGTAGGCCATGCTTGCAGGATGGGGGACTCTATCCTGGGAAGCAGTGACTCTAAAAAAAGATTTGGGGGTAGTGGTGATAATCAGCTGAACATGAGCTCCCAGTTCAACACAGTGGTCAAAAGGGCTAATGTGATTCTTGGATGTATAAAACAGAAGAATCTCAAGTAGGAGCACAGAGGTTATTTTATTTCTGTATTTGGCACTGGTGCAACTGCTGCTACGGTTCTGGATTCAAGAAGGATGTTGGTAAATTGGAGAGAGCCCGGAGAAGAGACATGAAAAGGATTAGAAAACTTGCCTTATATAGATGCAAGGAGCTCCATCTCTTTAGCTTAACAAAGAAAAGATTAAGGAGTAACTTGATCAGTCTATCAGTACTTACACAGGGAACAAATATTTAATAATGGGCTCTTCAATCTAGTAAAGGTCTAACACGATCCAATGGCTGGAAGTTGAAGCTCAACAGAGTCTGACTGGAAATAAGGTATAAATTTTTAATGGTGAAAATAATTAACCATTTCAACAATTTACCCAAGGCCATGGTGGAGTCAGTGATAAGTTTTAAATCAAGATTGGATGTTTTTCTCAAAGAGCTGCTCTAAGAATTATTCTGGGGAAGTTCTTTGGTCTCTGTGACACAGGAAGTCACACTACATGATCACAATGGTCTTTTCTGACCTTGGAACCTATGAATCACTCCACCCTCATTTATGGGTCTTGCACACAGTAACAGGGAAAAAATGCCTGAGTATACATGGAAACTGTGACTCACTGTGACAAAGTGGGGGGTTTTCTTGTTTTTTTTCAATGGTTTGCATGTCGAGGGGGTGGGACACAGTTTCCTTGGGTGTTACTGGTTTAACGAGGTGATGGTTGAGGGAGTTTGTTGTTACAGAGGACCAGTGAGAGAACTTGGGACCCCAGCCAATGGCCTGGAGAATTGATACCCCAATGACTGGTGACCTGGAGGCCCAGCTTAGGAGTCACAGCCGGTTCTGGCCAGTGGGAGGACAATGGGCTGCGAAGAGAGGACCCCAGTGATCTGACCAGCCAATTCCAGCCAGACGGGAAGAAAGGATGGCTGAGAGTAGAGGAGGCTCAGGTGACCCAGTTTACCTGGACAGAAGACAATGGACAGAGGCAGGGCTTGGGGGAGGGGATATCAGATGCCCAGCTGGAAAGCACAGGGGCTCGGGACTGGAGAGAGAGAGAGCAGACAGAGCCCACCTGGATGCAGGAGAGACTTGGATGTACTGTGCTGAGGGAGGCCATGCCTGAGGGCCCTGAGAGTTTCCTATGCTATGTTCAGACACTCAATAAACTCTCCTGTTTTACACTGGCTGAGAGTCACTCCAATCTAGAGAACAGGGTTGCATTATTCCCTCTGGGAGTGGAGGCCCTGGGAGTCCAGAGCAAGTGGACTTCCTGAGGGGGCCCACGGCGAGAGACAGGTGTGCTAAGACTCAGAGAGGTGCGGTTCCAGGAAGCAGAAGGGCTTAACCCCTGAGAGAGAGTAGACCCCCAAGAAGGGCTGTCACACTGAAGGGAGTTCCCCTCAGGGACCATACGGGGCCAAGAGTGGGCACAACCTGTGAATCCGTGGTAGCAGAGGACGGTTTGTGGACGCACCCTGTAGACTGTTGGCTTTGCAGTGAGTGGCTGCCAGCGATAAAATGAGGGAATTGAAGGAACCAGTGCGGAAATGGCCTATAAGCAGCTCCGTAAGAGGGAGCTGGCATGTTTGTGCAGGGAGAGAGGGCTGAGCGTGGGGAGGCTCACTAAAGAGCAGCTGATGGCTCAGCTTGTAGAGAATGACCAGTCTCAGGAACAGGCTCCAGATTCCAGGGGTGCCCCTGGAGAGCCGGGGAGTAGCCATGGGGGCAGTTCGTGTAGCAGTCAGGAGTCTATCAGACCTGACTCCCCCGTCAGCACAGGGGGGCCCCAGTCAGGTTTCTCCCAGGAGGAGCTCCTGAGGCTGGAACTGAAAACAAAGGAGCTGGAGGAGTGGAGGCTGGCGGACCGTGCAGAACAGCAAAAGCACGAGTTGGAGGAGAAGTGGGCCAAGAGGGCCTGCCGGGGGTGCGGGAGGGTAAGTGGGAAAGGGCCCCGAGACACCAGTTTTGTGGGGAATCTAGACACCAAACTGCTGCCCCAGTTTAAGGATGGGGGGATATTGATGCCTACCTCATAGCCTTTGAGAAGGCTTGTGATCTGATCTAGATTGACCCCACAGGCTCCACTGTCTAACCCCTCTGCTGGGTCTGAAGGCCATACAGGCATTCAGCCAAATGGATGGTATTGAGACAGGGGTGTGATGCTTTGTACCTTGGGGGAACACCCTACAACCCCACGTTCATCTTTATAAAATGATTGTGTGGTATCCAATGCAAAGTTTGTCATGTTTGGTGTCTTCGGAAGGCTCATAATGCACTGAGCATGGTCGTTATAGTGATTTTATAGTAATTGTTATAATAAGGTTTATAGTTATGAGGCTGAAAATTTATCCTCATGGCTTAGAACAAGCCCATGCAAAAACTCTCCAAGAGCAGAGAGGCAGTTCACACCTCGTCAGGACATGGATGGGACAAACCCAGCCCAGCCTCACAGGAACAATGGACACTGGCTTAGGCAGCAATAAAAGAATCTGTTAGACCCTCAAGGGAGTCACCCCCTTCCTTTGGTCAGTTTGGGATTGCGATGAGGTAATGCTCACCTGACTCTGAAGGGGGGATGGGGAGGGTACGCAAAGCCAAGAGGAAAGAAAGGACATGATAAAAGGGGCTGACCCCTCGCTGGAATGAATTCCCCTCTCAATCCAGCTAACCCCTGCCCAGCAGGCTGAGATCAGAGATGTGCTGCATTCATCCTGGCAGCTGTTCTCTGACTGGCCTGGGCTCACTAACCTGGCTGTTCACCAGGTAGAAATGGGAGCCAACCTTCCCATCAGGTGTTCACCATTCAGGTTCACTGGGAAAACAGCCCAGGACCTGGAGAGAGAGATTGGAGACATGCTGGCTTTAGGGGTGATCCAGCCATCCTCCAGCCCCTGGCCTCTCCCGTGGTGCTGGTCCCCAAGAAGGATGGATTGATCCAATAGTCGACACAGAACCAGAAGCTCAATGCCATTACCATGTCTGATGCCTAACCCATGCCTAGGACCGATGAGATCCTAGACACGTTGTGGGGTGCCCGGTACCTCGCTACCATGGATCTCACCAAAGGCTACTTACAGGTTCCTTTGGACCCAGAGGCCAGGGTTAAGTCTGCCTTAATCATCCCAATAGGACTCTTTGAGTTACTGGTCCTGCCTTCTGGCCTCAAGGGGGACCTGCCACCTTCCAGCGCCTGGTGGACCAGTTACTAAGGGGATGGAGGACTTTGCTCTAGCGTATATTGATGATATCTGTGTCTTTAGCCAGACCTGGGAAGAACATGTGGTCCCAGGTGAAGAGGGTGCTGGGTTACCTCCAGGATGCAGGACTGACCATAAAAGCTGGAAAGTGCAAGGTGGGGATTGCAGAGGTATCATACCTGGGCCACAAGGTGGGGAGCGACCAGACTAAGAAGGGGGGGGATGAGGAGGATACGCAAAGCCAAGGTCCAGGCTTTCATTGGCATGGCAGGGTACTACTGGAGGTTTGTGCGACACTTTAGCAACCTGGCAGCTCCCCTCATGGAGCTTTGTAGGAAGGGAAAGCCGGACAAGGTGGTCTGGATCGGGCAGTGCCAAAGGGCTCTCTGTGTGCTAAAGGGGGCACTTATCCAAAGCCCGGTGCTGGTAAACCTGGATTTTAACAAACCCTTCCTGGTGTTCACTGATGCCTCAGACACCGGACTGGGTGCAGTGCTGATGCAAACTGATACTAAGGGGGAGAGACATCCCACTGTGTACCTGAGCAAGAAGTTGCTGCGCTGGGAGCAGCACTATGCGGCCATAGAGAAGGAATGCCTGGCTATGGTGTGGGCCCTTAAAAAGCTGCAGCCATATCTATTTGGGCAGCGCTTCACTGTGTACACTGACCATTCGCCTCTGACGTGGCTGCACCAAATGAAAGGGGCTAATGCCAAGCTGCTGAGATGGAGCCTGCTCCTCCAGGGTTATGACATGGAGATGGTCCATATGAGGGGGAGTGCCAACGTTATAGCCGATGCTTTATCACAGGACGGGGGCCCTGAACTTGAGTTGAAGCGGGGGGGGGGAGGGAGATGTGACGAAGTGGGGGGTTTTCTTGTTTTTTTTCAATACCATGGGGGTGGGACGCAGTTTCCCTGGGTGTTACTGGTTTAACAAGGTGATGGGAGAGGGAGTTTGTTGTTACAGAGGACCAGCGACGGAACTTGGGATCCCAGCCAATGGCCTGGAGAATGGATACCCCAGCGGCTGGTCACCGTGAGGCCCAGCTTGGGAGTCACAGCCAGTTTTGGCCAGTGGGAGGACAATGGGCTGCGAAGAGAGGACCCCAGTGACCTGGCCAGCCGGTTCCAGACAGAGGGGAACAAAGGACGGCTGAAAGGAGAGGAGGTCCAGGCGACCCTGTTTACCTGAATAGAAAGAAAATGGACATAGGTGGGGCTTGGGGGAGGTGATATCAGACGCCCAGGTGGAAAGCACGGGGGCTCGGGACTGGAGAGCGCGAACAGGCAGAGCCCACCTGGATGCAGGAGAGACTTAGATGTACTGTGCTGAGGAAGGCCAGCCTGAGGGCCCTGAGAATTTCCTATGCTGTGTTCAGACGCTCAATAAACCCTTCTGTTTTACGCTGGCTGAGAGTCATTCCGATCTAGAGAACAGGGTTGCATTATTCCCTCTGGGAGTGGAGGCCCCTGGGGTCCAGAGTGAGTGGACTCCCTGAGGGGTCCCACAGCGAGAGACAGGCATGCTAAGGCTCAAAGAGGTGTGGTTCCAGGAGGCGGAGGGGCTTAACCACCGAGAGTGGACCCCCGAGAAGGGCTGTCACACGGACGGGGGTTTCCCCCCCGCAGGGACTGTATGTGGCCAAGAGTGGGCACGACCTGTGAGTCCATGACACTCACCTAAACACAGAGGGCTGTTAAATGGATAAAGTGAACAAATTGAGTGTACCTTTAATAGGCCCTTCCCCAAGAGAGTTAGAGGATCATCCTCCTATGCCCAGGTTCTCTAGGGTTTGCCAATTGGCTCGATAGAACTTGGGACTCTCTCCACCCCAGGCTGCAGGAAAGCTTTGTATCCCAGCCTTCCCGACAATCAAGGAGCCTCAAGAACAAAAAGAGTTTGAACAGTTATAACATAAGGGAAGGGCTTCAGGGAAGATGAGAAGTGAGAGGGAAGGAGCGAAGCGATGGAAATGGCTTCCTCATTTGAGAGACAAGCAGGGACCATTGTGAAGCACCACGTGAAGGTGTTCTGCAGGAAGAGCTGAGCTGAGCTCAGTGGTGAGGACAGGGACAGAAAGCAGAGAGGCAAACAGGAGAAAGAACAGCAACATCCAGCTTTGAAGCCCAGGACTTTTTAGAGATCCCACCAGTGACTGAAAGAAGCTGTTGGGACAGACTGTGGCTCCAGGCTGCTGTTAAGAGAACTGAGTCAGAATACCTGTATGCTTTCTGCATCCAGTGACGTCTGCTCCTCCAGGGCAACATCAAAGAACAGCTTATTGATGATGTGTCTTTTGCCGACCTAGATGAGACATGGAAGAGGAGTGTGAAAATGCAGAGAGAGCCTTTTCTGCTAGGCAGACAGCTACAATGGGAGAAGGTTACTGTCCCATCACAAGATAGTAATGTGTGGTATAGCTGGTGGGAGTCAGTTCACACGCTTGATATCTCTATGGTGAGATCCTGGATCTGTCACCCAAGCAACAAACTTGAGATTTACAGTTGTCACTCCAGGCAAGATCCTGGAATTTTGACAGAAAGATTCAGGCATTTCTGAGTCAAGAGCAGCTTGTTCTCTGGCAGCTCAGGCCCAGCAGCTGATGCTGAGCTCACCCAGTGCCAAATCCAAACACAGAAGTATGTGCTGCTCTCTGTATGCAAAGAGTGCTGTAATTGAGTGCAATAGCTCTCCCCATCTCCCCCCATGCCGTTACAGCTTTGTGTTTTAAGTATTATATGCAGTCATGACACCAGCTAATTGCATAGTTACTGCTACATAAGATGTTATTTCGCGAGAACTCCATGGTAACCCAGAGATGCAAGAGGTGGTGAAGAATACAGAGAATCAACAAGTCAGGGAAGAAACAAGGGCCAAGACCTTGAAAGGAAAGAAAAAGACAGGAGCACACCTATAAAATTAACATGCTGGCTGCGAACTGACGCCTCCGTGTAACTCAGCTCAGAGTATAGCCAATAAAGCCTAGCACAGGCCAAGACCCCCAACCTTGACTATTACTGTAACGTGAGGCACAAGAACTAGACTAATGTAAGAAATATGGTCTTGGGGTTCAGGCACTGGACTGGGTGGGATTCAGAAGAGCTGGGTTCAGTTCCTGGTTCTGCCCAGACTCCCTGGGTGACCTTTGAGTGAGTCACTGAATCTCTGTGCCTTGGTTCCTAATCTGTAGAAGGGAGAAACTCCTTCCTGTCTCCCACCCTCTGTCTTTTTCCCCTATTTAGGCGGACTGCTCCAGAGCAGGTACGGTCTCTCACTATGTGTATGTGCAGTGTCCTGATCTCAGCTGGGGAAGCTAGGAAGTACTGACCCCAGATGTACAGTACCTTCCCTCTTAACTTGTGTATATTTAATTTTAAACATTAACTTTAATAAAAAATTTAAATCTCAGGCCTAGATTATTTCCTAGCTCCCCCCACCTCTTTTCTTTTCCAGGAGGACAATTTAGCGCTAGTGAAGTTTTGCCACAGTAAAAGCCCTGAAGGTCTGGAAGTAGCAAAACATGCTTCCCAATGTGCCCCAATCTGGCCTCGAGAGGCTTAGAGGGAGGATTTCAGTCTCCATGGCCCATTCACTCCTTAGGCCTTGGCTACACTTGCAAGTTACAGTGCTGTAAAGCCGCCCCCAGCGCTGTAACTCACTCCCTGTCCACGCTGGCAAGGCATTTGCAGCGCTGTAGCTCCGTGGTTGCAGCGCTCCATGTACTCCACCTTTCCGAGAGGAATAGCAAGTGCAGCGCCAGTGTGGCCGCCCAATGCGCTGTGAATGGCCTCCAGAATTATTCGGCAGTATCCCACAATGCCTGTTCTAGCCACTCTGGTCATCAGTTCAAACTCTACTGCCCTGGCCTCAGGTAACCAACCATGTGACCCACCCTTTACATTCCCCGGGAATTTTAAAAATCCCCTTCCTGTTTGCTCAGCCCAGCGTGGCGTGCTATCAGCAAATCTTTCCAGGTGACCATGCCTCCACGCGCCAAGCGAGCCCCAGCATGTAGCAATGGCGAGTTGCTGGACCTCATCAGTGTTTGCGGGGAGGAAGCTGTCCAGTCCCAGCTGCGCTCCAGCCGTAGGAATTACAATACCTTCGGGAAGGTATCAAAGGACATGATGGAAAGGGGCCATGACCGGGACGCCCTGCAGTGCAGGATTAAAGTCAAGGAGCTGCGGAGTGCCTATCGCAAAGCCCGCGACGCAAACGGCCGCTCGGGTGCTCCCCCCGCAACCTGCCGATTCTACAAAGAGCTTGATGTGATACTTGGGGTTAACCCCACCTCCACTCCGAGCACCACCATGGACACTTCAGAGCCGGTTTGGGGGTGTGGGGGGGAGGGGAAGGAGAAGGAGGAGGAAAACGGGAGTGATGGTGGTGGGCCGGATGGAGACACCCCGAAATCCCTGGAGCCATGCAGCAAGGAGCTCTTCTCGAGCCAGGAGGAAGGTAGCCAGTCGCAGCGGCCGGTACTTGGTGGAGGACAAACAGAAGAGCAGGTTCCTGGTAAGTGGGTTTTTGTTTTTTTTCGGGAAAGAATGTTTTCGGTGCGGGCTCTTTGGGAGAGGAGGGTTAGGCATGCATGCCTAGATGCGGAATAGTGCATTGATGTGGTTTATCACATCGCGGTAATCGGCCTCCGTAATTTCCTCAAATGTCTCATCCACAACGTGTGCAATGCGCTTGCGCAGGTTTATCGGGAGAGCCACCATGGTCCTTGTCCCAGCCAGGCTAACGTTTCCGCGCCACTGTGCCGCGAGGGGCCGGGGGACCATTGCTGCACACAGGCAAGCTGCATATGGGCCAGGGCGGAAGCCGCATTGCAGTAGAAGACCCTCCCTTGCTTCCCAGGTCACCCTCAGCAGAGAGGTATCGTCCAAGACGAACTCCT